CTTCTTCCTTGGGACATAAAGCCTGGAGTGGGCTGAAGTTGAATGTTTCTCTTCCACCAACAAGTTCATTTCTAATAGGATTCCAGCAAGTTGGCTCTAGTAACTAGTTTCTCCTGTAGGAGGACCTTGTTAAGGACACAGTGCTCTCGCATATTTCAAAATGGTTCCTTTTTTCCCCCCCTGCTGGAAGCACAAGGGAACTTTTCTCCAATATTCACTGTAAGGACCTGAGCTCATAGAAGTAAAAGTCCTGAAATGTGAAGATATCCATATGACTGGGTCCCCCTGGAATTTTTATTTCAGATTTCTTCACATTGAGCCTCCAGGAGTTTGACAGCTGCAGTTCAGGCTGTCCTACTCTAGCGCTGGTTCTCATGAAGGGTTTTGCTGATGGGTTCCTGCTACAACAAGCTGAGATTCTCTGTGTTCGCTGCTTGGTTGCTCCAACTTGTAAGTGGAAATAGCTGTTCGCCCCATGACCCTACCACTCCAGTGAATCTAAGAAGAGTTGTTGGTTTTTCAGTTTGTTCAGCTTTTTACTTATAAGCTTTGGAGGGATTCAAAGTCTTTCCCTGTATAATTTTGTGGAAACAGTTTGACTTCTTGAGTCCATCCAGGCACATGGGAGCCATGTCAGATCTAACTCTAAGCAAGAACACATTTTTTAAAAGCAACTTTACTGAGTACTACATATCAACTGTGGAGTGGACCTTATGCAGAGAAAAAGAACCTGGTAACCTGGAGCTGTTGCATTTACTCTAATTACTTCATAGTACTCAACCTTTTTAGAACCTCTCTTCTAGCATTCTGTCAACTTGTAGACATTGTTTCTTTGGTGGATGTTTTCATTTGTTTATTATATTAATATTTTTGAGTGCTTTCTATCTATGCCCTATAGTTAGAATCTAATTTTAGAAATAATCAAAGCCAAATCAAAGTCAAATCATTAAATACAGTTTGTGTCCAATGGGCAATACAATTTTCAAATGTGACTGGTTCTCCACTGTGGCTATTAGATTCTTTAAGGCAACTGCAAAAGTGATTATTAAAAGTTGAGCTGCTCAAAAAAGTCTATACAGACAGTCACCAAGTTATAAACATCGGACTTATGTACAATTTGCACCTAGGAACATGGGCAAGTAAGTAAGTCCCTGAGTTACAGTAAGTAAGTCCCTGAGTTACAAACATCCAGCTTACACGTGACTCACATTTTCAAAGAGAGACCATTATAGGCCATAGATAAATGTATCTCTTCCAATTTACATACAAATTCAAATTCAAATTAAGAACAAACATACAGAACCTATCTTGTTCATAACCTAGACACTAGTTGTATTGGTTGAATTCACAGCTACAAATTTTTTAATGTATTGGGTCATAATGTGACTTGGTTTATACATTGCATAGTTTCCTATGCTAATACTAAAATTGATCTTTTCCATATCTGAGAACTGAAGGCCAAATTTAGAAATTGTGTTTCAATTCCAAGGTTACAGTTCCTAAGCAGTATGTTTGGGATCCATACTTTTACCTTCCCTTTCTACCTCCCTGTACACATGCACGCATTTTCTATTATTTAAACTCAATTGTAGGAACTTTGGACCAGGTTACTTTTATGTCTGAGGATTTTTATTCTCTTTCCTGGATTTTAGGAAATGAGAACATACCAGCAGTCACTCTCCTTAAACTGGGGATTTATTACACCAGAAAAACATCTTGCTCAAACTGATTCTGCTTATAGCTGCTCTGTTAACAGTGTTTTGAGAAAGAATCCCTTAACTGTGATACTTCATGGTAACAAGCCCAGCTCACGGAATCACATTTTACGAACTGTGTACTTTAGATTGTAACTGAGAACAGTCAAGATTCCCCTGCCTCTGGTGTGACTCCAAACACCTGACATGTTAGAACATAGAGGTTTTATGCTGAAACATTGTGCAGCTGCCATAGCACAGAGAAAAATAGCTTTCTGGAATAAAATATACGTGTTTGGGTTGTGGGAAGAGGAGGAAAAGAATGGGTACCTGAAGGACAGTATTTCATATAGGTGCCTTCCATCCTAAAAATAGTGGAAGAGAGCACTAACCAGAGAAGTTTAAATCCTACATATTGGGCTCCCAGAACACCTAAGAACTGGGTAAATAACACTCGTCATTAGGGCTTAAGAAGTCACATTTCTTGGTCTCTCAGCTGAATCTCTTTGGGCTATTGCTTGGAATCGTAGCAACAGAAGGTGAAACCCCACCTGAGAATCAGAACTTTCTGGACTAAATGCTTTAAGATAGATCCCCCTTCCCTTTTTTGAGTAGTATTAGCTTTCTGGAGTAGTTTTTTTTTTTTTTTCTCCAAAACATAGCTGCAAAATCTATTAGTTCTTAATAAATATTTAAAAGATCATGAAAAAATGAATTTCTTACAACTTATTATCACCATCTAAAATATAAAGAAATGAATACAGAAATGTATGACTATTAGCTTCCCAGATAGATGGGGGAGGATGATGGGAAGAGACTGTCACTGATTGGGGTATGCAAACGAGGTGTCAGCTCCCATCATTTCATTCATTCATTCATTCACTCACTCCGTAAACACGTGTTACTGAGCACTGGATTGCTTCCCAAGCATTTGGGTGGCTCATTGGGGACTGAATAACCTTGTGCTCTGCCTAGAGGATACCCTAACTTTCCCTTTCTTTCTTTCTCTCCCCTGACATAATAAGGAGCTACAGAGAAAAATAGAGATGAACCAAGAGACACTATCTCAGAGCAAACATTATGGTTCTCCTAGAAACAATCCAGGCCTGAGGTAGGTCTCAGGGAAGAAGCCCTTCTTGAGAGGCTAAGAAACCTTGTTCTCCTACTACCTGGGCTAGTGGCTTAACTGTTCTAAGCTTCAGTTTGCCCCATCTGTAGAATGGGTGATTGGGATAAATTATTCTTACGGCCCCTTCCAAACTTAAGCTTCTATTTTTCCAAGATCCTAAGTAGCCTTTTCATGTCCAGCACCATGTACCCTAAGGAAGCATCATGTGTGTGGGCATTACACACACACACACCCCTCAGCCTCGCGCCCCTGACTGTGTGTTGAAAGTTCTCTGTGTTGCCAGATACGCGAGTGCTCAGCTGTAGCAAGTTGCGACTTTGGCACTAAGTCCTGCAGTGTAGTTGGCTTCCTTTACCAAGCCAGGTCACCGACAGGGGATATCTCCTTTAAGACACGTGGAATCTCTCATTTGCGTTGGGGAGAGGGTAAGCAGCTGGAGAGGACGACATCAGCCCTCTGATGGGAAAAGCCTAAAATGTCGCTAGGGGAACATTACGCTCTCCTGGTATTAGGGCAGTGCTGGCTATGTCCAGCCTTCTCCCGCCCTGCTCCGGCGTTCTGCTTTCCGGCTGCAGCTACAAGGCCGACCCAGTCAGGAACGCAGGCAATGAGCGGTGCAGCTCCGGGGCTACTCCGGCTGCGGTGTCCGGAGCCCACCCGTGAGACTTGCAGAGAATCTGAAGACCCGCGTCCCCAACCTACGCAGGAGAGCGCTGCCCTCTAGCGACTAAAACGGGAGATGCGGCGAGCACCGAGCTTCGCTGGTGTAGCATGGCTGCCAGGTCCCGCGACGGTTGGTGGCCTGTCCTTTGTAGGAGAGAGCAGATGACGGGGAAAGCCCTGGGACTCTTTCTCTATGGATGGACTCTGGAACTGTTTGTGGGTTCTCCCTAGGCCCAGGAGAAACAGAAACATAGATGGATGAATAGATAGATAATACATGGAAGGCGATGACAGACAGAAAGATACATGAATGACAGGTGGTTAGAAGCTCGCTCCGAGTGCTTGCAACATGCCAGGCTCCAGGCTAGGTGACCTCATCCAGTATTTCATTTGATGGTCCCCGGAACCCTATGAATGACAAATCACCTCTGTCCCCATTTTCAAGATGGGGAAACTGAGGCCCCGGACAATGTCAGCAGCAATCTTTTGCAGAGACAGGAAGTGAGAGAGCAGCTCTGCCCCTGCTTCCACCGGGTGCGCTCAGTCCCCTCCCTGTGCAGAGGATGTCCAGTCCTTGGCTCCCCAGGGACCGCGTCCCTCATCACTTTCTCATCATCACACTCCGGAACGCTGACATCACGCCTGCTCGGCACCTCCTCTCACTCATCAAACACCCCCAGGACACCCTGAGCAGCGCGCTCTAGGCAGCGGGTCCCCAACTTGGAGGCCTGCCCAGGGAGCTGGATAAATATGGGTCCCCTCCCACGATGTTTGAACCGCGCCCAGTCCTGGGTAGAACGTTTTTCCAAAACCTGAGGTTTTATCTGCTTCTACGCTTGACCAGGGATCTTCCTAACTGGAAGAAAAAATTCCGTCCTGAGATTTTAAGATCCCCAGAAAGTTTCGCTCATTCATTCCTGTAACCATTAGCTGAGTGCCTAGTGTGCGCCCGGCCTGGCGCTGTTAGACGCCACAGCAGGGAAGTCGGAGTCAGGGCTGGGAAGATAAATGACGTTTGAGTCGGCTGTGCTCAGGGACCCGAGGACCCACCAAGGAGCCCGGGAGGAGAAGGGACAGGGTCAGTTTCACCGGTGTGCAGGGTCTCCAGCACGTCCCAGAAATCTAGGCCAGTACATTTGCCCTTCCAAACGCCCCCACCTCGGTTCCCTCCCTGGAGCCATCACTCCCCCACCCCCACCTGCATTAATTTCAGTGACTGTATTGGAGAAAATTGATCCCAGCCACTCTCCCCAAACTTTATAGTTGTCTTGGGTTTGTCACCTGGCAGCGAGGCGAGCCACCATCTCGTCTCATTCCGCAGCCCGCCTCCACCCTAGGCGGGGAGCTCAGGCCCGACCCCTCCCGCGGAGGCGTCGGCGTGGGGCTGGCGTAGGGCCTGCGTCAGCCGCAGCCGGCCGGCGATTGGGGCGCGCGCGCCTCCTTCGGTTTGGGGCTAATTATAAAGTGGCTCCAGCCGCCGTTAGCCCCGACAGCTCGGCAGGCGCTCAGAGCCCTCGGCGACACTGAGGACCGCGACGGTGAGGCCCGCACCTGCCCGTTGGCCGTGGCCGCTCTCCCCGACGTCCCCCGCCCGCCCGTCTCACACTTGCCTTCTCTCCCTTCCAGAGTCGTGTCTGGGACCCGAGTTTTCCGACCAGTCTGCTCCACCTGAACAGCGCCAACGTGAGTAAATTTTCCCCAAACTCGCTTTTGCTGCGCGGGTTTGGGGTCACCCCTGCTTGCTCTCTTTTACTTTGCGTTTCATTGCGTGGGTCCCCAACTTTCTCCCGGTTCCTTTTTGTGAACCGCGTCAATCCGAGCCTCCCCGGGAGCCCACTCTCTAGCGCTTGGTCTCAGCGTTCCCTCCGGTCCTGGCCTGGGCATCAGACTCCGAGGAAGAAAGCCAGTGCCCCGGGCAGCCAACCTGGGAGTTTCGAGGCGATCTGGACTGACCCCGGGGCCCGGGAGGGCGGGTGTCCAAAATGGTGCGTCCCCACGGGCTCTTGCTAGACGATCCCCTTGTGGGCCTGTCGCGGCGCGGGACCCATCTGCGCCTGGGCGGGATCGGAGCGCAAGTCCTTCTGTCCTTGCAGTCCATGGCGCGGTTCTTGGGATTCTGCACTTGGCTGCTGGTGCTCGGACCGGGGCTCCTGGCCACCGTGCAGGCGGAATGCACCCAGGACTGCGCGACGTGCAGCTACCGACTGGTGCGCCCGACCGACATCAACTTCCTGGTAAGTGTTCCGCGCGGTGAGCTAGTGGCCACAAGGGTCCGCGGACCGCTCTGCACCTGCCACGCGGCGCGTCTCGCGGTCGCTCCTGGCCGGAGCCGCCACGGCGCAAACGCTTGGTGACCTCCGTGTCCCAGCTGATATTGGAACCCTGGCTGTGTCCGGCCTTCCCCTGGCTCTCAGCTTTGGAGACCCAAGACTATTTAAGGACCAGAAAGGGCAGCAGTGTTTTCTCCCAAATCTGGGGATTCAGGAACCCCTAAATGTGCTTTCTTCAGCACCTCGGATAGCACTGGGTTGGCTCCTAGCAAGGAAGATGTTCCATCACTCGGATTCCTGTGATGGCGCAGCTGACAGCCCCCACTCGCAGCCATCCTCACGTCCTTCCTACAAATAGTGTAATTTTTTTTGTTGTTAGTGACTCTGGTCGCCTTTCTTTGAATTTGTTTTCCCGTGCTCTCTTAACCTCAGGTTATGCCTTTACCCTCACGTGTGGATAGGAGAGGCAAAGAGATAGGGAAGGAGGGGAAGTCGCAGCAGACAGGAGACAGGAGCGCATAACTGTCTCAGAAACAAGTGACGCAGGGACTCAGCTGGTCTTGTTTTGACTGCGCTTTTGTAATATCGACTGAAACACAGTTTAATTTGGCTGTGAGAAAGGCACAGGAGAAGGGGCCAGTGCCAAAGTAGGGACAGCAGCGCAAAGATAAGACGCTTGGGTGTGTGTCTCGGGTGGGAGACGGAGGCTGCAGCCTCATTCTAATCACAGTCCACGACTCTTGAATCACCTCTGGGGCTCTCTACGGAGACGGAATCTCCTACCTTGGAATTCAGGAAGCTTCCTTTTAACTAGCTCCACTAACCATCTTTTTGCACTGCCTTTGAAATTCGTTGAAATTTTGCGATGACTTAAAAGGTTCAGTAGAGAGTAATCCAAGCTGATTTGGGGTCCATTTCAGCATTTGAAGAAATAGCACGTAATGTAGATGCTTGAAAGGGAGAGAAATAAAGGAAAGGATTCCAAAAATCTGTGGTATAGCTGTCAGATTAAGTGTTTGCTTCATTTGAGTATTTGAGTTCCCCGATCTATTTCATTTGATACATGCTAACTTGACCTTAAAAGAATCATAGTAGAATTATATATTTATAAGAAAAATGTTCTATGTCCTTCATCCATCTTTCCTTCTCCCACAGTCATGAGCTTGTAACCCATGCCTAAAAAATGAGTGAGGGCTGCAAACATAAACACAGATCTTGTGGTAAAGAATTTTATTCATGGAGTGAGCAAAATCCAAAACATGACACATGCAAGACCCCAATTTCTGACCCATAATTTCCCCTGCCCCGACACTCGGACTGAGGTCTTCTTGCCTGGCGTGTCCCCTAGCTTTCTCTGCCATCTATGTAAGTGATATGTGGATCCTGGTAGAATTGTTCACATCACACAGTCTAACCTCAGAGTCCTTTCATATTTTCCTAAATGGTGTTATTCAGCAATTTATCGTGACTGACATTCAACAGTGCCAACATGTTTGATTTCTTCCTTCGTATTTAATTTGCTTACTTCACCACACTTCCAAATGATGCTCTTCCCTTGGCACTGTTGAACTTGGGTCACTGAGTGGCAGGCAGCCCTTCCCTGGGTGTCATTCAAAATCCTGACTTCCCTTTCTTTTACCATCCTCTCATCATTTAAGAAGGTTAGGGGATAGGGGAGAGGAAGACTAACTACTTTTCCAGAATTTTCCTCAGTGATTTCTATGCTCTTGTTGTTATAGCCTTTAATTTTTTAACCCCCATGATGGCATGGCACATGTAGTATTAGCAACTTGAAAAAAATTAAGCAACCATCAGTCAAAAGTGCACTCTCATAGGAAGACATTTTGAGTAATAACTAATTGGTATGTTTTGTGTTGGGGCTCATATTTTGGTATCTTATTTTGTCAGTGGCAAAGTTTAGTTAAAGACTATGATGCTACAATTACAACAGTTCTGGAATTTTAGCTCAGATGGAACAGCCATATGAGAAATGAGGTTGCCTAGCCAAAACTATATAATAAAATCAATGTAACCAATATTTATTGTGCTTCTACCAACCAGATGAAAGAAAATAGTGCTTGGTACTGAGGTGGGTGCATGGAGAGCAGGCACACCACAGCTGATGTCCAAATAGCACTTATCATCTACTAGGATCCTACCTGTAGCACACCGAGTGAGACAAATATTACAAAAGATGTATACATGGCTACGGGAGCCATAAGATAACATCAATGCTTTAGTAGAGTGTGTTATTCTGATTATTTGTCGCTACTGGGTTTTGAAGGAGTACCGTATTATATGCATATGAAAGTCTTTTGTTAATAGTGTATAAAGTATTTGAATATAATATAGGGTGGCCATAAAGTTGGTGCTATTTAAATTGCACAAATTACTTTAATTGCACATGACCTTTATGGCCACTCTGTATTAGAATGGAAATATGATTGTCCCTTGAACATCTTAAGCTTTTAATGATATTTTGATTTCTTTATAAGATACCAGGAATAGAATATAACCATTTTGATTGAATCACCTTTATCTTTTTACATAGCTACATATATAATTTACTTAGACACATGCTAAGATAATAATTAAGAGGCAGTTAAATATGTACCCTAAGGATTTTATTTTGCTAGTAAAATTATTTCTTTCATTGTGAAAATAAATATGTGTATTTAACATCAATTAATATACCAGTATATTTTTAAACACCATGAAAGGGCCTAGATTTTCTGCCTAAATCAAAAGCCTATGAACCTGGGTTCTATCACTAGATTTCAGAAAGCTACAAAAACCCCTAAAGTACTAAGAACTACCATCTTTAATTTGCAAATGTTCATGTAATATTGGTGCTCTTTTTATCATACCCAAGTGATCTATTAAATAGAAAAAAATCTTAAGATTGTTAGAATATAAACTTACAATGATTTGAATTATTACATAATAAAAAGAAAGGAATGTTATGCTGACCATTCCTATTTTGTGACAACATTTTTCCACTGAAAAACACTTTTTCTGTACACTAGTGACTAAATGTTTCAAAAATAAACATGAGTAATTTGTGCATTTGTATATGTATAATTTCATATCTAATCTTATCATTATAGACATTTGGTTCAAGATTTTGATAAAAGCTGTTTTAATCAACAAGGAAAACAGAAAAAACAAAATATTGATACTTTCAGCAAATCAATATATCAGAATCCAAATAATCTGTAAAATTTAAATTGAGTTTTTCAACTTATCTTGAAATTTTCATTTGAAGATTGACTGTGTCTGTAGGAATTGGAGATACCACTTTAGGTAAAATGTCAACACAAGAAAGCAAAGAAATATTATGTTATTAATATTGATTTTATCTGTAAGACAAGAAGATAAAAGGAATTTTGAGGTAAAATCCCCTTTTAGGTAAACAAACATTTCTTCCTTTTGGTTAGAAAAATTTCAAACAAAATGACATCAGCAGTGGAAAATTATCTGGGGGAGATCAGGTTGTGAAAGCAGACAATTTAAGTTAAAATAATGTGTAAAAATATTTTAAAATATTGAAATGGCATAGTATCTACAATGGATTTAAAATGGAAACACAGATTTCTAATTTGATTCTGTTAATTCCCCCTCCTTTTCTCTTCTCCAATTTTCCTTCGTTTCATTTTTCCTGTTTGGTGTGATGAAAAGCAGTAATATGTGGGCCACAAAAGTTCATTTTCTCCATTAAGTCAGAGAATCATTACATTTATCATTACATCAAATTGTTTTCCCAGGCTTGTGTGATGGAGTGTGATGGGAAAACCTCTTCTTTCAAAATCTGGGAAACCTGCAAAGAGCTCCTGCAGCTGTCCAAATCCGAGTTCCACCAGGACAGCCCCAGCAGCCTCCGAGAAAGCAGCAAGCAGGAGAGCCACTTGCTGGCCAAAAGGTATGGGGGCTTCATGAAAAGGTACGGGGGCTTCATGAAGAAAATGGATGAGCTGTATCCTGTGGAGCCGGAGGAAGAGGCCAACGGAGGCGAAATCCTGGCCAAGCGCTATGGGGGCTTCATGAAGAAGGATGCAGAGGAGGACGAACCCCTGGCCCATTCCTCAGACCTGCTGAAGGAGCTTCTGGAAACGGGGGAGACCCGGGAGCGCAGCCCCCACCAGGATGGCAGTGAGGATGATGAAGAGGTGAGCAAGAGATACGGGGGCTTCATGAGAGGCTTAAAGAAGAGCCCCCAGCTGGAAGACGACGCCAAAGAGCTGCAGAAGCGCTACGGGGGCTTCATGAGAAGGGTGGGTCGCCCCGAGTGGTGGATGGACTACCAGAAGAGGTACGGAGGCTTTCTGAAGCGCTTCGCTGAGTCGCTGCCCTCCGACGAAGAAGGTGAAAGTTACTCCAAAGAAGTTCCTGAAATGGAAAAAAGATATGGAGGATTTATGAGATTTTAATACCCTTGCCCGTCAGTGGCCCCAGGCCCAGCAAGCCTCCTGCTCCCTCCTCCCGTGCTGGTGTGTTGCTGCCGAGAGAGCCGCTTGTGTGGTCCAGCTGAGTCATTGTCTGGGTGACTGTCCAACCCGATCTGTCGAACTGTCCTGTCATTTGAGGTTCTGTGTCTTCTGAGTCTGTGAGCTCAGTGTTGGTCTGCTGCAGCTCTCTCCCTGTCATGCTCAAGTAGCTTTTGTTATTTTGTCCCTTATTTTTGAAAAAGCATCAGTAAATGCTTACCTGTATATAGATATAATAAACCCATTTCCCCAACTGCATAATATCCTTGGCAATCTCTTTTTCTCCAAGACCTTCATTTGCCTTTATGTTTCTGCAATAAATCCTGGATTTACCATATGGTAGAACGATCTGCTTTTGACAGAATAATCACTGGTCTTCTCTTCCAGCAGTGGCTGCAAAAACACTTTTTATTTAATTCCTCAATATGAAATATTAGACGAGTAAACACATTGGTGTAAAAGTAAAATGCATTTTTATTCCCATTTCTGGAAATCAGATACATGAGGAAAAACCAAAGCCTATGAAAGGAACTAGCTATTCCCTCACATAAAAAAAAAAAAAAGAAAATGAAGAAAAAGAAAACACCTGTGTTGACATCAGATGTCTATGTCTCTTTTCTTCAGTATGGTATTTTAAAAGTTGAAAAGACATTAAAGATAATTTAGCCACATTGTACAAATGAAGAAAGTGAGGCCCAGAGAGAGGAAGTAGTTGACCCAAAGTTGCCCAGCAGTGGAAGGATAAAGATAGGATGAAAACTCCAAAGTTCTCATTCCTGACCAATATTCTTTCCACTGCAGTTCCATATCTCCTATCCAGGTCACTACAAAGAATTGGGACCACATTTTGTTCACCATTGTACCTCCCTACACTATGACCATAGCAGATTGTCCAGTATCTAATGAATGAAATTACAAATGAATAAATAAATTTGGTGACCAGATAACCAGGAAAGGGAAGTATTTTGCAAGGCAAATTCCCAAAGCATAAGGCACTTACAACTACTTCATACTAATGGGAAATTCACATATAAGAAATGTGAATTTGAACTTTTTTTCATTTTTCTAATTGAAACTACATATAGCTCAAGCCCTATCCACTACATTATTTTTGCAGGACCACCCCACCAATCCTTTCTCCGTGTTCATCAAAGAAATTAGATTTTAGCAGATCAGGAAGGTGTGGTAAGTCTTTGTTACACAGCCCATCACCATTGCACACGAGATATGTGTTGCCCATGGCTGTGTGCTCCACTCTGATGATACAGCTCCACCATCTCCCACAATCTTCCCTCTACATCCAGCCCTGCCAGGGCTCCTGAGACATGCACGTGTCCATGCTTTGTTAGAAGACCCTCCTGATCAGCATGAAAGATCACAGGTCTCCACCCTTGCAGACCCCAACGACCATCTACCTTCCTAACCCCTGGGTAAAGTAACTTTTGGTTCCAGGCAGAGCCCTGGGATCTCCCCCCACCCCCCATCTTAAACTAGAGATGCAAATGTAGAAGTGAAGCAGATCAGAGAGAAGAGGAGGATAAGCAAAGCTGGCCTAAGAAATCCATGTCAGAAGTAAGGAGTGGTGCTGCTGGGGCACAAGGAGATAGTGGGTCTCCACTCAGCCTCAGCCAACTGTTTGCCTTGGACATGCCAGCCCAGTATTTTCAGGCTTTTCCAAAGAAATCAGAAACCTAAGTTGTAAGAAATTTTGGCAGTTGATTCCATATAGAACTGTGGGTCAAACAAAACACATTTTTAGATTAGATGTGACAGACCTACAAGCTAGTCTTTTGAGAACAAAAGTCACTTAATTTTCTCCCCTGGGCCAAAGGGTGACCAAACCTTGGAAACAGAAATTCAGCCTACACCTTTGAGATACAACAACGATACAATTATTATCTAACAATAATACGATATGTATTCATACCTGCCTCCTAACACTATCAGATGAATACAGTCTTCAAAGCAAGCAAAATTTTTTATCTAAGAGCTCTTTTCTATTTGCGGGTAGCTGTACCGAGTGGGCTAAAACAATCAGTGTGGAAGGTGGAGGCCTAACAGCCGCTTGCCTGCGGTCCCATTTGGCACCCCCACCCCCACCCCAGGAGAGGGACCATCCGCAAATAAGAAACCGGCAATTGCCACAGAGAAATATAAGGCTGTGCCCTGGCTGGCAGCACCTGACCCCCACGTGACCCCCAACCCCAGATGGTCCTTAACAGTGAATTTGGGGTTGTCCATAAAACACGGCTTGAGGTAGGCTCACCCCACTCTCCAAAAATCTCCACTATCTGGCCTTTGATCTAAAATTCCATCATTAGAATTTTAGAGTCTGTAACTCTAAAAGGCGTTGTTGTTCCCTAGAGCATCCTATTTAAATTCTGAGGAGCATTTGCTTCAGGTCACCTGGGATGCTATTCTGAGCGCAAGTAACCTAGTTCTGACCTTGGTCCTCTGTGTGTGCTCAGTACAAAGGTTCTGAGTTCCCCAAACAGCAGGAGGACTGGGGTTGGGACCAGCCCCCGCAGCCTGGAGAGCATCAGGGAGAAAACCATGGACCGGGAAGAAGAGGGACCCACACTACCTGCAGAGGGCGCTGCTGCTCCACGCGGTGCCCTCTGGGGCTGGGCCCTGCCTCGAGCGCCCCTGGGCCTCCCGCGTCCACCTCCAAGCCGGCACCCCAGCCTGGGTTCCCCCTGAGAGTCCTCTGTGAGCTCTGGGGCTAGGCTGTCTGACAGAAGATGCCAGCTGGCTAAGTGACCTGAATTCTCCCTGCCTTGCTCTCCTCCAGTGTCTCCTTAGGCTGCTGCAGTGAGTGAACGTGTCCCAGTGCACAGTCCTCGAGCCACATCGCCGCGCACGGCGCTTGTAGCAGGGTTAGCTGCCCAGTTCTGCCGGCAGGATCCTGGGGTCTCCCCACAGGTCCTACTTCACTCTGGGTCTCTCGCGGATGAGATGCTGCCGTCAGCCTCAGTCCGGATCACTAGGTAGGGAGCCTGTTTCCTGACAGTTGTGCACCGAAAGGCAGAAACTACTGGAGCCCCTTGGTGCTCTCCCCTGCACTGGGTCAGGTTTCCATTACAAACCGGGAAAGCCTGTGCGCTCAGAGGGTTATCCGCGTGCCATCACGTTTGCCCAAACCCAGAGGAGGTACATGAAGATGCAGTGCCAAGAGCGATCTCTCAGGTAAATGATGGACTCAGGGGACAGTGACGTGCCCCTGCGGGTTCACCCGCTGTAGCAGAGAGACAGCTGGAAACGGTGAGGTTATTGATCAGGAGGGAGTCTGTGTGGGTCTGAGAGAAGGGACTACGGGAAACCGAGCAATTTACTGTGAATCTAAAACTGCCCTACAAACTAAAGTGTTTTTTGTTTTGTTTTGTTTGAGACAGACTCTCACTTTGTTACCCTCAGTAGAGTGCTATGGCATCGCAGCTCACAGCAACCTCAAACTCTTGGGCTTAAGCGATCCTCTTGCCTCAGCCTCCGAAGTGGTTGGCGCCCGCCACAGTGCCAGGCTATTTTTAGAAACGAGGTCCGGCTCTTGCTCAGGCTGGTCTGGAACCTCTGGCCTCTGGTCTCCCAGAGTGCGGGGATTACAGACATGAGCCACCATGCCCGGCCCTAAAGTGTTTTGTTTTTTTCTTAAGGAAGTTATGTGCAGGGCCGCGCCTGTGGCTCAAAGGAGTAGGGCACCAGCCCCATATACCAGAGGTGGGGGGGGGGGGTTTCAAACCCAGCCCTGGCCCAAAACTGCAAAAAAAAAAAAAAAAAAGGAAGTTATGGGAAAATAAAAGGCACAAAGAATCTGAGACTGGAGCTACAAAGGTTTCTCAGGAGAAGGGTGTAAAGCTTTGAATACTTGTATATATGTGTTGATTTTTTCTTCTTTTCCTGAAACGTACAGAAGTAGCCCCACATGCATCAGTTTATTCATTGGGTAAGTGAATGAAGCAGCGTGGGGCCTCCCAGAGCCTAGGAAGAGGCTTCAGGGTTTTCTTCTCAAGGTGACAGGAAACGATTTGAGGGTGAGAGCACAGGTTTCCGCCTACGTTGTGGTCCTGAGGGAATAACGTGCGCGTATCTGTCCTCATTTCACATCGGACAGAAACATCTGGGTTTCCCTTAAAGTTATGTAAAACTCTCAGTGTTTTGTAATATAAATGTAATAAATATGTTTTCTCTATCAATTCCTCCACCAAAGATCTGAACTTACAATGCTCACCATTGCCTTGAGAATGAAAAATACAAACGAAACAAAAGATGCATCAGCGTGTCCTCACAGGGAAGCCGGGCGAAGACCCCTTCTGCAGAGGGAGCCTGGCCGGAGCTGAAACACGCCGTCCGCCCAGTGCTTACCCTTCCTCCTAATAGTCTATCAAGAGTAACACACAGAGGATCTCACACAGCCGAAGTGCACTCACTGGGTTGCTGTGACGCCAGGATGGCCACTGTCCAGTCAAAAGATGGGGTTTCAGCAGCACCTGGAAAACCAGACCCGATTCCTCCAGATACCCAGTCTTCCTCCTCCCTCTCTCTCTCTCTTCTGACTTCAAAAAATCAGATTAGTCTGCCTATTTTTTAATTTCATACAAATGAAAACAACCTTGTTTTTATCCATTTGGCTCAATGTTTTATTTGCAAGATTCGCCCACGTTGTGGCACTCAGCTGTGGTTTAGTTTTCTTACTCCCCTGTGTGCAGATCCTGCAGTTCCAGTTCATCGTTGGCAGGTGCTTAGATTGTTTCCACATTTAAGCTGTTGCAAATAATGCTGCGATAAACATCCTTGACTGGGTCTCTTAGCACACAGGACACGTTTCCCCAGATACATATCTAGGAGTACATTGGGCAGATCATGGGGGGTGTGTATACTCGTCTGTAGTTGTAGTGTCAAGCAGCTTGTAGAGACTTTGCCCCAGTTTGGACTGCTGCCTGCAGGGTATGCCCTACCAATACTTCATGTGGGTCTGCTAAACTCAGTCCTTTCATTTTAATTTACATTTCCCTAAGGAGATAAAGCATCATTTGACATGTTTACTAATCATCCAGAGATCCTTAGTTATTCTTTTGCTTTCAAAAGAATATGGGCATCCAAGAAACAAAATACATACATTGTATAATATGTGGGGTTTGTATTTTTCTGGGAACACCTCTGAGCTATTTTCTGCTCTACACTGAATTGCTTTATATGCATGAAATACATGA